AAATACCTTGGTAAAAGCAACAAAAAGCGAGTACAAAGACTGGTGTCGTTCTCTACAATTCTCCTGCAACTGACGAGCAGCAAACACCATATCTATGGTGCTGCAATCCGAACGGAATTCACACTGCTCATCCGCCACGCTCGGATCCACAACCTGACTGATGAGGCGCTTGAGCGGAATTCGAGCACACACCACCTCCACACAACTCAGCAAGTTGATGCCATGATAATTCTTAGAACACTGCTTTTTTCCTTTGTTTTTGTACAGTGCAAGCAGAAGGGCATCCTTCAGCTCAGCAGGCATCTCATCCTCAACCCACACACTTTGCACCAAGTGTTGTGGCGCATTTCTCGAGAAATATGTAAGTATTATCCGAGCATTATACGCGCGTAGCACGGGCAGAGTGAGGGCTTACGACAAGCTGTCGCCGCCCCTCAATATCTCCAACGGTGTGAGATAAGGATGCCCGTTGTCACCTTTCATCTTCAACTTCCCTGTTTGCGAAGTCATGGAGTTTACACTTACATAACACGACTTAGAAGGTGTGGAGCTATCCCCAAAGGAACAACTTCTTGACTTGGAGTATGCAGACGACATTGCCCTCATCTGTGACCGCTATCAGACGTGCCAAGCTGTACTGGACATATTAGCGCTGGCTGTCAGCCGAATCGGGTTTTGCTTTGCACCATCGAAGTGCAAAGCTTTCCTCCAAGATTTTCTGGGGCCGTCTCCTTCGCTGACGCTTGGTGAGGATCAGCTAGAGGTAGTTCAAAAATTCAACTACATGGGAATTTGTATCAGCGCCCTTGGGATCGTAGACGAGATCATGAACCGTATAGCAAAAGCTCGAAGTGCTTTTACTAGTCTTCGCCACCTATGGCGGTAGCGGGACATCACTCTCACTCTGAAAGGTAGAGTGTACAATGCAGCGGTACGTTCGACCTTACTGTACGGTTGCGAAACTTGGCCCGTTAGATCAGCAGACATAAAGAGGCTAGATATGTTCGACCATTGGTGCCTTAGCAGTTTAGATCACATCTGGTGGGAACACCGCGTGATCAACAAGCGTATTCGAATCCTTGTTTATGGCACAGGAAAAGGAACTGAACAGCTCAGCGGCGTCAATTCACGCCTAGGCTCCGAGGGCTCGGACACGTGTTGTGCATGCCAGCCCACTGACTCCCGCGACGTGCGTTTGCGCACAAGGAGGTGTGGATGTAAGAAGAGGAGGGTGGCCAAGCGATGACTTTGTCGAGAGGAATGCAGGTCCTCCCTTCAAAGCTGGCCTCGGTTGCAGCGTCTCGACTCCCTGGTTGGGGTCCTAAAGACGATGAACACGTTTGGCTAGATACACTTACTGACATGGCTAGGAGCCGGCCTCAATGGCGTTCGTGCTGCGAGTTTCTTTGTCCCCCCCCATCCCTTTTATCCTCCCCTTCCAACCACGATCTCATTTCTCAGCATAATACAATTTTACGTCATAATTTTTCTTGTTACCTAGTAGCCGGCTGCTAGCTTTCCGGAACGATGCCCATCCGTTACCGGTAACTCAGCTGGCATGCAACCGTTGTATTTATTGTACTTTTCTTTTATGTATTGTGGCACAGTAGCTGAGGTGTTTTACACCTCCAGCTAACGTGTATCATGATGATGCTGCTGCGCATTTACCAACGCAGGTCCGCTATGCTTCAATACTAATATCGGGATCCCGTTTTCACCGACACGCCGTTTCGCAGCTGAGCAAGTGCCCTCTGCGTCTCATCCATTGTCGGTGTGTCCGTAAGAGTCGCCTTCACATCGTGCTTTTTCAGGCCGTTCAAAGTAAGCCAGTCTATCCCTGATCGGTTGTTCAAGAGACATTCAAGGTGTTTTGCCAGACCTGCGTTATGTCTGCACTCTGTGTGCAGGTTGCGCCTGAAGTACCATCGACCAGCGTCCTTAGCGGCTCCAACCTCGGTCCATACACCGCCCACAAATAGTCAAAGAATTCCTTGTGTTGGCGGCGTTCGGCGCAGCATTCCATCGGCTTCGCTTCCTCCATCCACCAAGCATTTTTATTGCGACGGATCTCTCTAATCTGTCGTCGACGAATTTCGCCAAATTTGCTCAACTCACTGGGGTCTGCCACATGTGAAGCAAATGCTGCCTTCATCTCTGACACCAATGCGCCAATCACCGCCTTGTTCTCATCAAACCAATCCGGTCGCCTACAATTTGCGCGCCCGATAGTCCCCTCGACAGCAGCTGTCACCTGTCGCGAATGTGATACCACAGGTCGCCCATTGTGGCCATGCAGTCCACATCACACAGGCGTACAGCCATCGCCTTCTCCAGCTCAGTACGTTTCGCCACAGTACCGAGGGAGAGAATGTTAAATTTACGCCGATTCACGGCGGCAGTGCAATACATAGATTTACGAAAATATATGTACAGTTTGGTCCGCACCAATTTGTGATCAGTGCCACACTCAGCTCCACGCAGTACACGTGTCATGCGCACTTCACGCATATCACGCTGACGTACGATGACATAGTCGAGCAGGTGAGTGTGACCACTCCGTGGGTGCGTCCAAGTTGCTATATCACTCTCACTCAGTGCAAACCGAGTGTTCGTGATCGTCAGGCCCTGAGTGGCACACAGTGAGAGCAGCCTGTCACCGTTCACATTCACTGAACCAATGCCATGCGAACCGATAACATCTGTCCACGCTGATGCATCAGGCCCAATGCGCGCGTTGAAATCATCCAGCAGAAATAGTCGGTCGCTCCTCGGCACAGACCTTATTATGGAGGATACAGTGTAGAATTGATCACGCGTGTCATCAGGATAACACAGTCGGACCGTACATGCTTATAAAAGTGGCAAACTTACCTCTTCCGAGTCGTAGGCGAGCAGTCATTAATCGCGCGCTAATGTCTGTTGGTTCACCCACGAGCTGGCCATGGAGGCGATCGGATATTGCAAATCCGACCCCATGATCACGTAGTGCTGAGGTGGCGTTGCCCACTCAGTAGAATGTGTAGTCAGCAACTGCTTCATACAACGTACCTTGCTCAGCGAGCCGAGTCTCACTGTGCGCCGCAATATCGAGGTTGTTCCGCACGAATTCCATCGCGACCAATGCAGTGCATCGCTCGGGGCGTTCACTCGAGTTCCGGTCCAGTAGTGTGCGCAGGTCCCAGCACCGATGCTGAGTGCTTTGCGCGCAAGCACACGACTGCATTGGTGGACAATCGCATGGGAGGTGGCGGATGTTCTTCGGAGGTTTGCTTGAGGGACTCCCCCCGGAGGCTTTTGCTCAATAGTCTGAAACACAATGTAGTGGGTGCTTTGGAAGTTTGCTTGGGGGACTCCGCCTGGTGCCTTTGGCTCAATAGCCTGATCCACAAGGCAGTGGGTTGTTTACAGGTTGGCTGGAGGGTCTCCGCCCGTAGCTTTTGGCATCAGCATCTTTTTCCTTTGATTCATTCTGATTAAAGGGATTTTTTGGATTTCTGAAGGTCAGCATTTTTCGTAATTCCATCAATCGTTCCCGGCCATTACCACGTAAACTGCAAAGCAGCAGAGCATGATGAGAGTTGGTGCACTCCTTCTGGAAATGAGAATTTCTTTTGTTAAGTTTCGTCGCAGCTTGACTCAGGCAGACAGCCACCACACATTGAGAAAAGCGCTAGACGGCCCTTTTGTCCTATCGGGACTCGTCAATAGCACGCACCTGCCGAATGCTGCCGAGTTCCAACCCGCGACCTTTCTCTTACGAGCCAGCAACTTATGCCACTGAGCCATGGGTGACGGCAGCTAATCGCCATGACTTATATCTAACTGCGAGATGGCGCGGCCCATCCTCCGCTGTCCTACATGTTATGAACGTGCAGACAGGGCTAGCCGCCAGAGCAACGACTTCCTTTGCAAGCCGCCACCAGTCGAAGTGGCATGTAAGCTGCTAAGGCCAGTGCTGATTATTAGTGAGTGAGTGACTCAGCGGGTGCGTGCTACTGACGAGTCCCAATGGGACGAAACGGCCGTCTAGCGCTTTCTTGGGTATGTGGTGACTGTCTACCCGAGCCTAGCTGCCACGCATCTTCACAAAAACCCAATAAATGCCCCCTACTACTCACTAAAGTGAACCTTCCCATATCGCACCACCTGAAATTTGTCGTAGCTTGATCCATCTGGGTCAATCGCTGGCCAGCTATTAGCGGACACCAATTAATAGTCTGTGCCCTCTAACCTTGAAAGTCGTGTGGCTACAAAGCCTTCGATACTCTATACACAGCAGCGAAAAGTTCTCACCATTATCCGTACGTTCATAATTCGTTCTCAATTCACCGCTTAGCTAAGCTTCTGAAGAGCTCAGACAACTCACATTCAAATCCTCTGCAATTAAAGTAATATATGAACTAGTACTACCACGCTAGTGTGTTGATTTCGTGGTAGAGAGCGTCCTTCATAGCTTCAGAACTATAGTCGGTGAGGGCACAAGCGACAGTAACAAATAGACCGCATCCAGCAGTGTCTTGTGTTGTAACCTTGCTTGCTGTTGCCATAAGGACGGTTGCTTAGGGGAATCAGGTTGACCAGCGATTACTCAGCCTTAGAGCTGAGAACAGTACCCACCCTACCTAAATCTGTGGCTGCTGCGTTAGGTCCTTCGATGGTTTGTGACCAACAACGAAAAGACAGGCTGGGCGCAATTGGTTCAACAGTCGCTTGAGAGTCATCGAGTATAGTTTCGTACAGGTGGCATACGAACGTTATACACCACTAGAGAAACAGGGCAGCGTGTTTTGGCTTGGTGTTTATTAAATGAGTCCAATAGGTGCTACATGACAGCAACTTTAGGTGACAGAACTCCAGTGATACGCAACCTACCAATTAAACTAGAGATTGTAGGATGAGCCTTAGCCACTCGGTTAATTGCTTGTTTTTTCTATCATTAATCAGTTACATTACAATGCAGGGTTTGCTGGGTTATCCGGTTTGCATCGCTTCTTCTTTTAGATGGTTTTATTAAGGTGAGTCAGTCCGAGTTTTCGTGACGCCACATTTTCTTCCACCAGCTATTGATTATCCCGACTATGTTCTTTGATATAACTTCGCTCCATTCAACAGACTTTCTGCGACACTGAATGTGGGCCACTCAGTGACGCAACAGGTTTTCTTTTTCAGCTTTTACTGTCTCGTGGCTCCGTTGTTCGAAGATTTGTGTGTCCTTTGTCATTTCGTATTTTGTTATCGTACAAGAAGAAGTGTTCCTTGTTTTCAATCTCTCTTTCCGCACGAGGGTCTTCTGTTTCATCGGACCACACTCTTCAGTCATTTTCCAGTATGATCAACAGATGGATGGAAATTCAAAAAAGTTTTGAGGACACATTCGAGCAGTTCAAACTTTTGCTTGATAGTTGTGAGCAACCTGAAGTCGCACATGATGATTTTGCAGAGGTAAAAAGGAATCTCTTTTACATTATTAGGCTTCTTTGTCACCATCCACCTATGTAATAAGTTTTAACCTAATAGAGCCATCAGTTTTATCTCTTAATTTCATTCTCACTGATGAATTCAGTAATTCTTTTCCACTTGTATGTTTCTGATTTCCATCAAAACTCCTTTCATATACTACCCAGTAATGCAGACGGGATGCCTTTTTTTGCATTCATCAGCTTATGCAGCTTAGGTTAATTTCAGGCGTTTTGTTATGGTTACTCGACACAACTCCCCATGTAATACTTTTTCCTAATGTGCTAACCAACCGATCTCCTCCACTGCACACTGAGTTTTCAAAAACGTCCTTTTCTACGCGCACGAAATTCGAAATTTTATTCTTCGGCACTTCATGATACCGTAATACTGTTTTGCCTTATTCTACTATGTTTGCTTTTTAACCCATCGAAGTACCTAAACATGCTGCGCAAGTGCTTGTTGGAGTGACGGTTGTGCATTTATTCCATTTTCTCCCCACGTATATATATTATATTGATATTATCATCCATTATATTCGCAGTGGTGATGTAACTGTTGAAAATGAATCCATTGTAGTCCATAAAACTTATTTTGACTTGGCTTGATTTGAACAAATTTGAGGGTCACTGGTCGCATATCCGTCACACGTTATTAGCAGCAGGCATTTCTTTCTTTTGCGAATCAAATTGCCAGCCTGGACATTGGGTCTCTGCGCAGTCTCTGAAGCCCCTGTTTGTTCGCCGACCTGTTCTGGCTGGGAGCGAGCACAACTGGACTCGCAAAGAGCTCAGGGCGGAACTACTTGCTAGTCTGAAGAGAAACCGCAAAGCGTGGTGGTCTCACCGTACATCAGAGATGGAACTGGCCGCTGCCCGTAGTAACCATCGGAAGTTATTCCGTTGAATACGCGAAACGGACAGAAGGAGACCTGGTGTTAACGAGACCAAGTGTGACGAGGGTGAACGGCCGATTGACAGCTTGTCAAAGGTTTTAGAGCGTTGGGCCATACACCTTGAAAAGCAGCTCAATCAGCCAGACATACCAGCTTCTGTATCGCCCATTGATCATCTTTCTCCCTTGGCCGTCACTATGAAAAAGTCGAACGTGAGATCAGACTGCAGAAATTAAATAGGCTGCAGGAGCAGGTATACTTTATACGTCCATATTCGAGTTCGGGTTACCTGCTCTTTTGGATAATTTGCATAACTTCCTAGTGAATCTATGGGAGCAGGAGATTGTCCCAATAGACTAAAATCGCTCCTTCCTAGTCCCATTTTTCAAGGGTGGCTCACGTTCAGAATACGGCATCATAGGGTAGTCAGTTTGATCTTAATTACCTCTGAGTTACTTGACTGTCGTTCTGCATATACTTGCTGGCACCCGCACAAGCTAGATTCTTGAGAAGCAAGCCGGATTTCATCGAAATCTAGACTGTAATCACCACATATTTACATGACGTCAATTCTTTGTACATCGCCATATTTATCGGCGAGCCACCGTATTCGTGTTCCCCGACAACAATGGTGTCTTCGATTCGGTGGATCCAACTGTCTTTCAACATCGTCTACTCCGGAAAGGTGTGCACGATGAGTATGTAGGCACCATTAACGAGCTGTATGCACACAGTTCGAGCTTACTGAAGTCTTACGGTATGCTTTACCGCCTCTCCAGTAGTGTAAGACGAGGATGCCGACTGTCATCTCTTCTTTTTAGCTTCTCCACTGACGACGTTAGTGGTATGGAACTCCTTCCAGGTAGTCGACTTCTTTATTTAAAGTGTGCCGACGATATTTCTCCAATCTGTAACAGCTCCCAAACGTTCCAAGCAGCACTAGATAGATTAGTATTGGCTGACAATTGTTTTTAGCTATGTTTTTCACCCTCGAAATGCAGTCCTATTCCAAGATGGACAGGGACCCACTCCTGCGTTAACCCTTGATGTTCACCAGATAGTCATCCAAAAACTCAGGTGTTTAGACAGCTTTATCAGAGCCAGTGGAGTGAAGAATGAGACCACGAACGTATATAACAAAATCTCGAGGTGCTTTTGCCAATCTCCACTATGTCTGGCGACGCACTGAAGGGCAGTGTTAACATTGCACTCGTGCATTCATGTCTGGTGAGAACACCGCGTGAGCAAGGAGCGTGTTCGGCATCGTATATTGGGTGCAGAAAGAGCGAGGGAACTGCTTAGCATCGTTATTTCGCACACTTGGTTCCGATTGCTTGGCCACATATTGCGCATGTCTGTACACCGGCTCCCGCGACCTGCATTGTTTACGCGGCCGGGGCTGTGAATGGAAGAAGAGGTGGGGAGGTCAACCAATGAGTTGGTTGAGAGGAATGAAGTCCTTCACTTCGAAGTTGGCGTCAGTTTGTGTGTTCCGACTGCATGGCCGAGGTCCGTAGGACGATGTACACTTTTGGTTACCTACACTTGTTGTCATGAGTTGGAGCCAAAGTAAATGGCTTTTGTGTTCAGATTTTCTTTGTCATTTCTCATCTCGCTTATCATTTTCCTCTAATCACGATCTCAATCTTGAAGCATAATAGATTACCAAGCAGATACCACCTGTTACTTTTTGTATGCTGTAATGTTTTGTGTCTCATTTTTATATATCTTACCAATTTTATTGCGGTACGATAGTTGAAATGTGTTCGTCAGCTAATATGTGGTGATGATAATAGTGCGGTTTCCATTCGGGTTGCATTGGAATCGGCATGTTGCTCGCAGCCCTTCTACCGCGTAAAAGCCAACTTTCGTGCTCACCGTCCGTCGACTTTACGGAGGCATTTGACACTGTGGACCGTGAAGCGCTGTGGCTGGCGTTTAGCAAGTTTGGATGCTCTGACAAGTATATTTGTCTCATTGAATGCGGAGGGAGACACAGCAGTGCGAACGAATTTCTGATGACTTTAATGCTATCCCTAGTGTGAACTAAGCTTGTCTTAGTCTTTACTCTGGTTAATGCTTATCTAATCGCCCTGACATCTTACGTTTTCAATACATTTGAATACCTTGTCCGTCCGAATCACAACACCGATGGTAGGTTGCTGAGCATCCACTGTTCTTGAGTGCGAAACTGAGTGCATGTTGTTAGTCAACGACTGAGGGTTGTTTGTACACTCCGAGTACGAGTTGCACGGTATTGCGGTGCCTTGATGGTGGCCAAGTTCCGAGTCGTTAACACTGGCAAGACTGTACGCCGTTTGCAGCCGTCACTGGGAGTGAAATTATGCAAAACTCGTAAACCAAAATTACGGATGAGTTTCTCCAAAACGTCGGAGGAATAGCGAGCTGCGTAACCGCATGCCAAAGGTCAGCGTCCGTTTCGGTGGGCTGGAACATCCAATATGGAACGATCACGGGCTGATCGCTGTGACCAAACATATTGTACAAGCCAATGATGCCATTGAAGAGAGGAGGCCAAACGATGACTTGGGCAAGACGAATAAAGGCCCTCACTTCGATTTTGGCGTCGGTTGATGTCTCTTTACTGCCGGTTTGGGGTCCCAGGAGTGATGAATACGTTTAATTGGGTACACTTGACGTGGCCACGAGCTGACCTCATTGGTATCTGTGTTGGCAGTTTCTTTGCCCATCCCCTTCCCGCTTAGCTTCCCTCTCCGACAACGCTCTCACACTGTACGGATAGTATTACACTTAGCATTATATTACTTAAGTTTTAGCTTTTGCATTCTTTTATGTTTACTCTTTTGCTTTCTCGTAAATCTTATCTTTGTATCGTGGTACAGTCAACTGAAGCGTGTTTCTCACCTCCAGTATCTGGGACCATCCTATTAACAGTGTGTGCGTCGGACTCTGCACATACGCTGGGGTAGCAAAGTATCTGTCATGGAAATGATCCATCATGGAAGCATGTACCGAATGGATTGTGTGCTGCTATAACCTCTGAAGTTCCTCGGACGTATCCGCCACTTGTATGTGAGGAAAATACTGAAGTGCCTACTGTACGTCCCAGTGTAGATAAGTGCAATGTGGGTAAACTTAAGCTATGACAAAGAACTCCAAACACAAACGCCACTGAGGTCGGCCCCATGTTATGTCAACTAGTGTCTTTAACCAGACTTGTTCATCCTCATTCCGGCCCTGGCCAAGCAGTCGGAACACACCAACTGACGCCAACTTCGAAGTGAGGGACTTCATTCCTCTCAACCAACTCATCGCTTGACCACCTTTTCTCTTCTTCCATCCACAGCCCCGGCCGCGTAAACATCGCACATCGCGGGAGTCAGTGTGCTGGCATGCGCTACATGTGGCCTAGCCATCGGTATCTGGTGCACGAAATAACGGTACTAAGCAGTTCCCTCGCTCTTCCTGCACCCAATACACGACGCCGAACACGCTCATTGCTCATGCGGTGTTCCCACCAGACATGAACTAAGCTACGAAGACAACGAAGATCAAATGAAACTAGCCATTTTGTCTGTTGATTCGATGGGCTAGGTTTTGCAGCCGACTCCGTTGTTGGCATTGCCCTTCAGGGCGAGAGTGATGTGCCGACGTCATAGGTGACAGCAGTTGGCAAAAGCGCCTCGTGATCTCATCCTCCACTCCACTGGTCCGGATATAGCTGCCTAAGTACTTGAGTTTCTCGATGACTTCTCTCTGGTGAACTCCAAGGGTTAACGCAGGAGTGGGTCCCTGTCCATCTTGGAGAAGGACTACATTTCGAGGGTGAGAAGCATAGCTGGAAACAATTGACAGCCAATACTTATCTATTTAGTGCTGCTTGGAACGTCACAGATTAGAGCAATCTCGTCTATATATTCCATGTCACGAGGTAGTTCATCTGGGGGCCGTTCCACGCCTTGCTGGTCGTGTCCAGTGAACGCAGTTTCCATGACTTCATCAATAGAGAGGTCAAAAAGGAAAGGTGATAGCTGGTATCCTTGTCTCACACCGCTGCTGTACGGTGGCAGAATCTTGCCGTTAGCCCTCACTCTGCCCTATCCTTGCG